TTAACATCTGAAAGAATGAAAACATTCTCTAAATATATCATCTTTCTTGTTGTCTTGGCATTTAACAAATAAAATTGTGGCAATCCCAACTGACTTGAAACAAAGTTGTCATATTTTATTTCAGACAACATATAAAAATTGCTACAGTGAATGTCAGCATCTGGTTTTGATGTCAGCCGAAGCAAATGTGAAAACTCTAGTTTAACAACAAACAAAAACAATGTGTTGCTTTAAGCAAAAAAAAAAAAAAGAATCTGCAGTGTCCAAAATATCTCCATGAGTGAAAATTAGACGCAATCAATTCTAACATTGGGTACGCAATTTGTTGTATCACAGTGATTATTTTAAAGTACCATCAGATTGGGACTCGGATACTGGCTGAAGGCTTTTCTTAAATGACTCAAATCTTGTTATTGGAGACAAAAATGCTTATTGGTTCATCAGCAGTGAGACATTAGTCTGCAGGTACATAATTTACAGATTAAACAAGTTCAGAAATACACAGCTTTGGAAAAAAAAAAAAGAAAGATAAAAAAGCTAACAATCACTTTACACAGCAATTCTCCAATAGCAGACACACTTGTTTGGCACGCTGCTTGTACTTTTTACCTCATCTCACCTCGCTCTGAACTTGCTAATCACATCCCTTAAATCCTGAGCCCAGGAAGCCCAACGGACAGCCTCCGGGTCTTGCTCACAGTTGAGCAAAAGTGAAATAAATAAATAAAAACTGTACACACAGTGCTTTGTGCGTGTATGTTTTGAGCCGCTCTGAACATGATGCGCGGCCGCATGTCATATTTCATTTGCCTTAGCCAATGGATAACCTTGCACACTGCCACACACAACTTCGCACAAGTGTTTGCACACAGAGACAAATGCGTATTAATTCACGGCATCCCCTCGGCGATGTTTGGTGAATCAAACTCAAGGTCAGACAGAGTTTACTGTGTACACATTGGCTTGACAAAACCAGACAAATGCATTCATTTCTTGCTTATTATTTCCATATTTCTATGCGACATTGCAATCTCCGTGCAGCCACTGAAAAGCGAGCGTTCGCTTGTTTAAAAGAACTGCTTTCGAAAAAAGAAAAAAAAAATCATGGGGTGAGGATGACTTTTCTACTAATGCTTACAAGCACCATAAACAAAAAGGATATAAAATATTCATGCGGCTAAAACAAGGATGGGAAGTACAGTGTAAGCAAATCAAACTTTATTTGCTTTTAGGCTCGCCTCTGAAAAGGCTTAACTTGATTTGTTGCCTCCATATATGCTTAATTGTGCGGATTAAGTTGTGTTCAGTGTAAGCAAAGTTTCTGCTGTGTTGTAAAATGCAGCAGACTACAGAGGACATAATTTGTAACGCAGACCAAGGAAAATGCTAAGTTTGCAAAGTGTAAACAAAAGAAGACTTTTAAATGCTTGAAGAAATGTGAGAAAAGAGAAACTCCCCCCACCCCTCTCCCTCACAAGCAGCAAAAGAGTAGCACAGAAAGGAGGACATGGTAGCACGTTGATCAGAGTGGATTTGAGAACAAGCTGGCTTGCGATCCCAGTGTAATGCAAGCCTGTGCCAAAATCAGTCAGACAACACCTTTGAAATTCTCAATAGCTTCCTTGTGAATCAAGCCAGCCCCCCTTTCACGGCTGCCTGGAGCAGATAACAGGCTCAACCCTGTTAACAATCTCACCTAATAGACTTTTCCCCGTCAATCACTTTTTAAAATACCAATACAGGCCAGCAGCTCACTCAGTTATTCACACTCACATGTCCTCGCACACACAAGCTCACTTCTTCTCACATGTGGTTGGACTTTCTTTGGAGAAACAGCAATAATTTTGCGGACGAGAAGATTTTACAGAGCACAAATGGTTTTTAGCCACTTGAGCACACAGGAATAACATTTTAAACATAGGCTTGAATAATAAATATATGGCTAGCAAAGACGTATATTGTGGATGTCCAGATTGGGATTGTTTTGTCTTTGATACCAATCAAAGTAATTTAAGAACAGGCATTTGTCGATGTCTGCATCTATTACCTAATTATATTAAATTATGTTTGTGTGCCTGAAAACTCATTAGCATAGAGTGGAAAAGCACTACATTTCATGAGCTTTACATGGGTTATATTAATATTGGGTTTGAGTCCCACTTAACTCTATCCTGGCCATTTCCTTCTTATGCAACTTCGCTCATTCCTCCATTTAGCATTTGTCCCACTGTGCTTGATTTCTCAGGATGCATTTCACCCTGGTCAATCAGCGAACAGAGGGACGAGCTGTAATGGTGAAATGTTTTGCATTGGTTGTAGTTTGGAAATGGCAGGACAGGAGGTCAAAAAAACCAGTTAGTCCAAATATTCAGTAATTAAAGTCACAGCATTAAAGACATTTTCTTGTTAGCAAAAATACCACATCTTCATAGTGTTGAGATGGGGCATGACATATGTCACGGAGCTGCACAGCTTTCTGAAATAAAATGAAAGACCAAACAACAACAACAACAACATGTATTGGTAGCTGAAATAGGACAAAGAATCCAACACAGAAAATTTCAAAATGCTTTGACTGGGACCCTGACTGATACATTGGATAAGAAAGAACATTAAAACTCGAGAATACTTAAACCAAAGAGACATATTTATAACAGTGATTTGATACAAAAGGCAACTATACAATGTAATACAGTACAGCATCTGACGTGGTCTAATACAGTGAGATTACTGGTAAGAAGAGCCTGCAAACAGAAGCAATTAGGCCTGTCACGATAACAAATTTTGCTGAGCGATTAATTGTCTAAAAAATTATTGCGATAAACGATAATATTGACTAATAATGCATGCAATTTCCTGCCATAGATAGATACACTTTATTTTCAAATGAACACATAACACTGGAACTGATAAACTAAGTACGTTTTTTGTTAATGGAGACTGAGAATCCATTTTATTTTTGTTTTGGTTGTTTTGTTTAAAATGGATTCTCAGTCTCCATTAACAAAAAACGTACTTGAATAAAAACTAAACAACATAAAGCCAAAGTGGAAATAAATACTGCATTCAACCAAAAGAGTGAAGATTACGAAGTATGTATACTATATTGCCCTTCAGTAATCACTAGATTTAAATAGAGAAGATGGACACATCTGACTACCTGATGCAGTAGTTCATACTACACGATTTTTTGCCCCTATTTTCCCCTTACGACAATCTTGGATCGTTGGCCGATCTAAGATTGTTGCTGGTGATTTCGTAAACAATCATCCTGCAGTGTGTGGTGTGTTAGGGTAGATTGTCGGTCGTGGCCGCTCCGATCTAAATCGGGGGTTTTCTCGACTGGGAGCTTAACGCTGAATGTGACAGGTAGCCAATCAGAAAACGCTGATTCACCTCCATGTTTTCTGAGGGGAAATTACGGAGGGGAATCCCAAACAACTGACACAGCGCAACCCAACGTCCAGCAGACATCGGAGATATGTGGAAACAACATTAATATTTATTCAACATTTCGTGCAAAGAATATAGAAATGACAAGGAGAGGAGTTGGAGCCAAATTCCTACCGCAGATGATAAACTCAGTAACTTTTCAGCTGTTCTTCGTTAATGTGACATAAATAGGTTATAATGATTTTCATTCAGTCAGGACTTTACGCTGAATCTAGCCACATGCATCACAGGTAGATTCTAGTAAAGCATTAATTAATGCCTGCCATTATTTTGTGCCCATGTGGCTGGACACCACACGGAACAACGAACCCGATTGAACCGTTATACCTAGGACTTGTGTCGGCTAATGTGTGATCTCTCAGGTTTTGAAAATGGGCCGACAATCGGCCGACAACTCGTGTCGTGTGCGCTGGACATTACACTAAGGAAATGAGGAAGGGAGGGTCAGTGGAGAGCACCGGAGCTGAGCCTTTTTTCATTCAGTGTCATCAACAGAAAGAAAAAAGGCAGGATGATAAAGCCGATAATTAAAATGAGGTCGATAGGTGTAATTTATCGTGCGATTAATTGATTTATTGTTTATAGTGACAGGCCTAGGAGCAATGGCAATAATTACTTTTACTCCATTTGAGAAAGGTCTTGTTTGTGTCTATGTGCTGTGTCTGTACTTCTGCGATGCCAGATGGGTCCCTCAGTTGGAACTCTGACAGGTACACACAAGTCATGCCTCCTTCTGTGACCTGGTCGTCACAACTGCATGAAGTGGAACTTGCTAACAGCACCTATGCAGAAACAAGGAATTGTTGTGCAGATGGGCTGCTATGTGCTTGATTGTGCGTTGGACAAACAATGTCATACCTACTCTTAAAAAAGAAAACACAACTTAAATATCAACAACAGAATGCTCTTCATAAAAGATAATAAGGTTATTCTAACATTCACCCAAAGCTCATCAAAAGAATGATGAGTCTTGCAGTAAAATTTCATCTGATGTAATTCGAGGTTTGTTAAATGAGCCCTGCATAAAAAGTAAGACCTCTATCTCTCTCGGGATGTGAGTGCTAAGCTGCGTTTTTAAGCAAGAAATGAAAATGCATCCGTTTGTTTGTAAGGTTGTTCTATAAGGGCCAAAAAGTTGACATGACTTTAACCCCATGGAACAACTGTAAACTTTAGCCTTTTGCATGCTTAAAAGTTGATTGTCCAAAAAGAAGTCTATGAAAGGACCCTTTAAGACCAGCTTTAGATGCCATAGGAATGCCATTCATGAAGTTGTCCAACATTGGTTAACATCCACACATTCCCAATGAGCATCTTTACTGACAGCACAAAAAAAACAGCGCAATGCACCTGACAACGCATATGGCAAACAGAAAGAGTGACAACACCGAAGACCTCACGGTAAGTTCCTTACCCACACAAATATGCCACGCGAGCGTGATGCACAGCATGCACAATGCGCTGCACACACTCGCATATGTGTATGCCTATGTAGCCTATTTTGTCACAAATTGCTCTAAATAATAAAAAAGGAAAACAAAGCCTACCTATTAAAGTGAACTCTCCTCCTGCTGGTTCCCAGGCTCAGGTCCCATTTCTGTGACATCTAAAGGAGGAGCAAGTAAAATGACAACATTAGCTTCATTTCTGCTCTTTTTGCCAAACGTTTCGACAAGATTTAAATGTTTTAAAGTCTGTTTGCTCATTCTTAGTTAGATTCATTACACAGTCTTGTTTAGCTTATGGAAAAAGCGGCAGCTGGTTAACAAACAAAAGTAAACTAAATAGTTATAATTAATTTAGGATGAATATGCACCCATGCACACAGATGTGCCTACAGCACATTTTGACACAAAAGACTTTTTTTTTACAACCACAAGTCTGTTTAGAACAAAGGAGGGGCAAATAAAAAGTCAAATAACTATGATCAAACATTTTTTTAAAACTCAAAGGAAAAATTCATATTACACACAACGTGTACTCCTGCGGCTTACAGACGAGTGCAGCATATACATGTAATTTTTCTTTTTCTTTTCAAATTTAGTGGGTGTGGCTTATAAATTACAGCGTATTCTTGTTTCAACCAACCAATGGAGAATGGATGTGCATGCACATATTTAAGGAGTAAAGCTAAAAGTGTAGTGGGTCTTTAAAGAATGATGCTCTGTTGTCAAACAGAATTAGGTATTCATCCACACTGTGGCGTAAAGATAAATTAAGCCACGACTCTACATAAACAGAAATCTCCAGAGTGAGAAATTTTTTTAAACCTGCTAAAAACAACATAGAAAAACAATACTCGAGTCTTTGGGGACTCATAAACATCAATCTTTGTGTGGTTTAATCCCTGCACCAGTCACTGTGTCACATTCGGAAACAAGCAATTTCTAAATGGCATTGAGATTTTGACGACACAAAGCTGTCGTTATGGTTGTAATCCTCACAATGGCTGCGACATGTGCTGGTTTTTGTCTCGTATTTTCTTTGTGTCGTTCCTTTTGTGTGACACTTTCCTTCATATTATAAGGACCACTGGGTCCATAAGTTAACTAGCGGCACACCAATCGGGTAAAGAAATTATATTAAATAAATGCAACAGGTCACCTGCAAAAATGCCCCAGTTGTGAAACACTGTCGTCTGGGAGGATGTACTTTTTTTGCTTTAAGTTGGTTTCAGCAACAACTCCAATTCAACACCTTCCACCATCTTCCAATCCAAAATCCCATCAAGGGAGTTCTCAGCATGGCAGTGATCTCCGGCCAAATGTCCAGACGGCTCGTCCAATGGAGGATTCCTGTTACCAAATTGGTGTAACATCAACATAAGGATGGATTCATCACTTCAGAAGATTCTTCCCACTTCCTTCCTAATGATATCAGGTTGACGATGCCCTGTGGCCAGACCCAGCTAGGCGGAGAGAGCCACATCATGTTTAATGTGATCTCTCTTTTTTTTTGTTTTTTTTGTTTTGTTTTTACTTTATTGGATTTAGGCAATTACAAAAAGCGGTTGCATGAAGACAAGTACATTTTTCAATCGGTCTGCACAATCAATGTCATGTAGTGTTGGTGATTCTATTTTTACACTTTCTCTGTGCAAATGCTTCTACTGCTTTTGGACAAACACAGCAGTGTTCAAACCGCAATGAATACATCAGAATTAGCTGCTGTGCTAACTGTAAGAAATGTTATGAAAAACCGGGTGCTGTTTTGAAAATTGTGCGCAAGCACTTGAAAATGGTAATCAAGCTTGCTGTTATGTATTACAAGTTTCCCACTAGTTGTAATTCAGAAATGAGCTTGGACTTACTCTGCTTCGTCTGAGTCACTTCCGGAGAACTCTGGAAGCTACAATCGGAAGCTAACTTCAACGGCCGCTTCCTCCAAAATATATAAACATATTTTATATATAAAAAACAGACAGTCGACATTTATCCAGGTTTGCTTTTGACTGAAACAAATGTTTTGTCAGAGTGTCCAAGCGAAAAGTAATAGAGCCAAGAGCTACGTTGTTTTCAAATAAAGTTGCCAAGCTTCAGCTCACTGATAAACTCAGCGTAGGTCGCCATTTTTGTTGTGGTAGTGTGTGAACCAAAAGAAGTTGACGCATTTAGATTTGGCCCCTCCTCGTTTACATAATAAGGCAGAAATAATCAAGGCGAAGAAAAATAGTAGAAGTACAAAAAGATAAATAAATAAATAAATAAATAAATAAAAAATCCAAGCACAACGAAAAATGGCATAAAAATTAAAGATGAAACATTTGAGTAAAAGGAAAAACATTTTGTATGTTTCAATATATAATCTGTTGGAACTAAACTAAAAATAAATATGAATGTTAAATTATAAGATATGAGATTACGTTCTCCTTTTTAAAATTAATTGGTGCATTTTAAGTGTATTGATGTATTTATTGGGCCACTTATGTGTGCCGTTATTTTTTAAGTTTGTCAGCTTCAGACTGAGGATGTCAGTCCTTCATAGTAGACTGACATTAATAACTATGCCATTTTCTAAGTGACCCAAATCCTCATTCTTCCTGATTCTGATGCTCATTGGATCATGAATTCATCTTCACTATGTTTAAATGTGTAAATGCATTGAGTTGGAGTGATGCACCTAGCCAATTTGCTATTTGGCCAACTACATCACATAATTAAACAGTTGTAACTAATAAAGTGACAGATAGGTGCATTTCATTTTCACACCACCATCAGATGTTGGCTCAAACAGTCAGTCTTTAAAACCACTATTCAACTTTATTGCCATCCAGAGAAAATGATGAACTTTCTGTCAAATGACTTTATGTAATAATATCACCCAATAAAACAATAATAAAATACAATAAAATGTTCCGTACTCATATGCAACTTACATTCTTGATAGACCCAAATACTACACACAGGTACTCAGAACTATGCCTGGGAGATTAACAACACACAGACCTACAGAATCACTTGCACACACGCACGCACACGCACACACACACACACACACACACACACACACACTCTCTCTCCCTCTTCTTGCAGTTTTGCGTCAGTGCTAAGACCACAGGGACGGTTGACATTTCACTCTGGCTCCGTTTCCATTCCCTGTGATCACAGCCATGCTGCCTCGCCTCCCTTAAAGGTCACTGTTGTTGTTTGTCAAAATTCCAACAAAAACACACCATGCATTGCTCCCTGTGTGAGAGAATGTGTGTTTGTGTGCGTTTGTGTGTGAGAGAGACAGAAAGAGAGAGAGATACAGAAACAGAGTTGGAGTTTGTGTGTGTAACTAACATGGTTTCAGAACAAGAATTGTCAGTCAAATCAAATCAGATTTTTAGAAACCTGACCCAGATGCTGTGTGTGCGCAAGAAGAAGGTGTGCTTTGAATTCCTTTCCTGTTTGGGTGGTCACCGACTGATATCTTTTCTTGTTGTTTGCTTAAATTTTAATGAGCCTTTCTGAAATAGTGTCACCATAGCATAAAGTTTGTACAGAAATATCAGATTGATTGGAAATTGCAACAGTAATACATGCATAGAAATGTTTATATTATGATTTGGATTTACTTAAAATTCTTTTAAAGAAAGAGTCAAGCAATATTTTCTGAACTAAATTCTAGTTTAAAGTAACATTTCCAGCAACAGAAATGATGTCTAGTTTACATGGATTTTAATTTTTATCATTTTTATGTATCATTTGGAAACCAGATATATCCCTTTTTTTGTTTTCAGATAAAGGTGAACTAGTAAGCTATTATCATGGAAGCGGTATAGTCAAACGGTCAAAACAGGTGAACAAAGACCAAAAAAAGAAAAAAAAACAGTTTATTTAAATATATCTTGAAACAAAAGAAACATATCCATCCAATGGTCCAGAAGTGTTAGTTTTAACTAAAACATATACAAAGATGTAAGCTGCAACACAATGCTACCTCAAACCAACCCAGAACAGTGAGTAATATTTAAATTAAAGCATTATGACCAATTGTAGAAAGATTCAATGTATCAGAAATAATAATAAGGGACAAGCAGTGAACACAAACTAAACCACTTTGTCACAAGCAGTGGATGGCAGTACTTTGGAAATATCACAAGTAAGGCAGTACTTGCTGTACAGAGACAATTGTTGGTATGTTAACAGGTGATATAAAAGGCTAAAAAAACATTGAAATGGTAATTGTAAACACTGTGTGTTTAGTTTGATGCCATATTAAAAGAATGCCTCTGGAGCTGTGTATCACTTACACTCACAGTGTGATGTCGCCACTGGGCCTAATATACAGATAAACTCAAAATTATTCAAACTCCTGGCAAATTTAAACATCTGCTTTTTTCACGTAACCATGAAGTTTGTTTCTAATGGTCAAGGAAACAAAGGACAAACATAAAACAGTCTAAAAATATAATTTTGTTTGTTTTTCTTTACATTTGATTAAATAGCATGTCGAAGGTTATTTATTGGTGTGTCAGTAATCAATGAAAAAAGCTTTATTGGCCACAGCAATGTAATCATTTTTATAATCTCTGATGCATATCTCCACTGACTATTTTGGCAGTTTATGTTAAGTGATGAGCTCCAAATCTTTGAGGCTCAGACGCCTCCTTTCCGTCACCCTAATCTTTAGCCCCTTCAATACACTCTGTATCAAGCTAACGCCATAAGGTCACCCCAAAGCTTTATTATCACTTCCAGTCTAAAGAGAAACATTGGTAAAATGGAAAGATTACTTAAAACCTGCCATTGTTTGCAATGTTTAGAGTTATATTGGGATATATACATATATCAGTCATTGGTCAGGTCTTGACATTTTATTCTGTTTTAGATTTTGGAGCAATAAAAACCCGAAACACAACTCAAGAGTGAATTTTGATGGGGACTTTGTTGTTTAAAATGTTTTTTTGTTTATTTTTTGTTTATTAATAGTTGTGCTGCTGTCTTATTCTGTCTCAGGTTTCTTCACTCAGTCCGATCATCCAAATCTCTTACTGATTATAAGACGTGCATCTACAAATAGATGTAAGGTGATCCCATACTCAGAGCAACTACACCAAGACAGCTGTCTTTTTTTTTTTTTTTTTACATTAGTCTAAATATGTGAGGGTTTTATGTCATGAAGATCAGCATACTTACCCCGACTCTTCTGCCAGTTTGTAGTCTGCCTGTTTATCTGTGCTTAGCTTTGTTTTCTATATTGCCCGTCGAAAATGTGATCTATCTTTCAAGACACGCTACTAAATATACTTTTAATTACACTGAAAATGATGGAACCCATTGAACTACAAGCCTGGTGCTTGTTCACTTAGCACAACACTCGACTTCATTTACAGTCAGAGTCCTGCTGAACAAAAGCTGACCACAGCTACAAAGCCACTGCACAAAAAACACAAGAAAAACTAACACAATTTATCACGTTTTATGTGTTTAATCTACCACATGAAATGTATTTGCTTTACAGTTAAAGAACCACATTCATTGGCTTTCAATCTTAGAAAAACACCAACGTTTTACATAAAAATAATCAATTGGTTCTTTTTTTGTTTTGTTTTTAGAATATTTCAAATGCACAGACAATTAAGGAAAAGAAGCTTGTAGTTTGAAACGACAAATCAGCCCTTGTACCATAACTCCCATTCTGTTCTGGAAATTACAGCCAATTTCTTCAGCCTTAATAAGCGGCACACGACGACAAACAGGATATACAACAACGCACAGGCAAATTTTTTATCTGAAGGCAAATGGAACAGAGACTATATAAGCTAATGTTCGTAATTTTGTATTATGTGAGAAAGCCACAGTGACTCGGAGAGAACACACACCTGCATGGAGAGAACATGCAAACTTCATCGTCTCTCATACTGAGAGATGATTTAAACATGGATCCCAATCCCTGACCCACCCTGCAGTCTATAGCCCTTGTTTAGCTACACTAAACAAGCAAATCAGAGTTTTCCTTTTGCATTATTTAAGTTCTTCACTGCAAAAGTAAGTTTTATAAAATATGTATTTTTCTGGAGATTTTTGGTGTGACTGTGTTGGCTCATGCTACTCAGTAAGAAAAAAATAATAATTCCACAAACTTTTTAAGGACAACACCAAAGATTTTGTCAAACAAACAGGGACGCACATATCACTAGGTTTCTGCTGCTTAAGATGAACCTTTATCTTATTCAGTGTTATCACAACTCGCCTAAACAGAGCCCTGCTTTTGTACAAAAAGACCTGGAAGGGATTGTTGTGGACGTGAGGCTCCAAGTGTAAATTCTCAAAACTCCGCAGTTAATGTAAACCCATAAGCCTGCTGTTCATCTCTTCCTCCTCATCATCTTCAGTAGGAATCATGCCAGGGCTTTCATCTGACAGCTTGACAGATAGATTCCTACATGCATCCCACATTCGGGTCTGCAGCTGGAAGAACTAGCCATTTCCTTGATGTGTTTTTGGTCCCCAAGCTACTGGTGCCAAACTTGGATGTTTTGCGTGCCTGTGTGCCCGTCTCTCCTGCTCCGCTCTGTACCCCTGTGGCAACTGCACACTTCATCTGATGTTAAAGCAGCCTTATGATGATTTAGGTCGGGGGAGAAAACATGCCAACATAAAAACATACTATCAAGACTTTCTGCACTGCTGTAGGATTGAGTTTTATTTCAACAGAAGAAAAAGGGAGAGAGTATAGAAAGACCTTTAATTATATCTAAATGGAGTGGTTTGCACAATTTTCCAAAACACGTACAGATGATGAGTAAATTGGTGCATACAGTCGTCTTAAAGAAAATTCACATCGCTTTTAAATCTGAGGCTTTACAAAATTTATGTATTTTTACTTTTGGGGGTTTTAAATTTTGGCTTGATTCTCATTTCTTAACAAAACTAAAGCATTGAGTAGTTTGATAACGATGCAGTTTTGCATGAATCAGGTGTTTCAATGATTGCCAAAGGTTATACCTACTGTCATACACTGTAAGTTATTTTAATTGATTTTAAGAAAACTCTACCATGTGGCACAATGTTCATTATAGAACCCATTTCAAGCTCTGTGCCGTTTTCATTAAGAAAAGGAATCACGTCTATAATTTA